CTCTACTTACAACAAAAGCACAACAAATCATCATATCATTATACTAGACTGTAACGTTGCTATTTATAGCAATTCGCGTGTTGTTACTGAATGTATATGTCTGCAGTCTGTAAGCTTTTGAAGTCTTATAATTTCTCATTTTTGTTTAATGCTTTCTCTGCATATGTAAACTAATAGAATTAAAGCTAGGTAAATACAATAAAAGTACATAAGTTGATATAATCGTGAATTTTTTTATATTTCGTCCACGGAATGCTATAGCATGGATACAGGTTGTATATAAAAACTGGCTTGGGTTACTGCCGTGGGGCCTCACGCGGGACTTTTAAAAAAGCTTATTTTGCGGTAGTTCAGGCGACAGTCAGGTAGTCTGTTTCAGACCATGCATGTTACGATATAAAAGACTATAAAATAATATAAAAACAAGTTGACAAAGATGAGTTTAGTTCTTAGATTATTTACAAAGCAAATCTACCTATGAATATATAAATAATTTTAAAATGTTTGTTAGTGGAATCTGGGAAATAAAATCAATGCCAATGTTGAGCGCTTTATAATGAAAAACTATAGCTGTCAACTGAATAACAACTGTATAAAATTTATAGCTGCCTCACTGCTCGTATATATATATATATATATATATATATATATATATATATATATATATATATATATATATATATATATATATATATATATATATATATATATATATAGAATTAGGTTTCGTTGTTTACAAAAACATTTGGCAGAGTGCTCAATGGATATCCAGAGCATAATTAAATAAGTGCAACGACTCAACAAATTCCACTAGGCATCTTTATTACTATTAGTTTCGTACCACAAGATGTGGCACTCATCAGATAAATTAACCTTATTTATAATATATAATTTAGATAAGGCTAATTTATCTGATGAGTGCCACATCTTGTGGTACGAAACTAATAGTAATAAAGATGCCTAGTGGAATTTGTTGAGTCGTTGCACTTATTTTATATTTATATATATATATATATATATATATATATATATATATATATATATATATATATATATATATATATATATATATATATATATATATATATATATATATATATATATATATATATATAAAATAGAATATGACTGTCTATAAACAACAAGCAGTGTTATTTTTAAGTTTACGTTTTTATATTGATGGGGGCCGGGGGGAGGGGATTAAGTAAAAACAAAAAAGTAAACTACAATATTAAAACAGTAGCTAAAGCAGATCCTTTGTAAATGATGTCCTACACTGCGTGGAAATGAACGTAATCTTGATTGATTGATTCTTTAATTTTCTGTAGAGGTTTTGTTTTGCTCAAAAATACAGCTTCAATGATGAAGAATGACTGTAACAGTTTATTCATATATTCAATTTATCTCGCTTTTTTTTTAATATTTTGACGTTGTGACGTCACCGTGAGATCGTGTCAAGAAAGTCTGATATCTTTGATGATAACTTAATAAAATTTAGTCAAACCTGGCATGTTTACACTGTAATGGGTGCACGTATTTATGTTTTGCCATGATAAATAATTAGTCCCCACTCTTTACTCGTTTAGCTTTCTTTTTTAGTTTCTTTTTTACAAATTC